TCTGGGACCCTGGCGTGTGGGCACGGAGGAACAGTCTGGGGTTGCGGGTTCTCTTTTCTAGAGATTGGGGGGGGGGGGGGGGGGGGGGGGGGGGGGGGCCCCCTAGGTTGGTGTTTCCGTGGTGTGTGTTGTGTGTGTGTGTGTGTGTGTTGTGTGTGTGTTGTGGGTGTGCGGTGTGCGGTGTGCGTGTGCGTGTGCGTGTGCGGTTTCTTGTGGCGTTTGCGTGTGCGTGTGCGTGTGCTGATGCGTGTGCGTGTGCGTGTGCGTGTGCGTGGTGTTGTGGTGTGTGTGTGTGTGGTGTGTTTTTGTTGTTTGTGTGTGTCTCTGTTGTGTCTCTGTGTGTCTCTGTGTGTGTCTGTGTGTGTCCTGTGGGTTGTCTGTGTGTGTTTCTTGTGTTGTGTCCTGTGTGTGTGTGTGTGTCTGTGTGTGTGTGTGTGTGTGTGTGTGTGTGTGTGTCTGTGTGTGTCTGTTGTGTGTCTGTGTGTCTGTGTGTCTGTGTGTCTGTGTGTGTGTCTGTCTGTGTGTGTGTGTGTGTGTCTGTCTGTGTGTGTGTCTGTCTGTGTGTCTGTGTGTCTCTGTGTCTCTGTGTCTCTGTGTCTCTGTGTCTCTGTGTCTCTGTGTCTCTGTGTCTCTGTGTCTCTGTGTCTCTGTGTCTCTGTGTCTGTGGTGTGTGTGTGTGTGTGTGTGTGTCTGTGTGTGTGTGTGTGTGTCTGTGTGTGTGTGTGTGTGTGTGTGTGTCTCTGTGTGTGTCTCTGTGTGTCTCTGTATGTCTCTGTGTGTCTGTGTGTGTCTGTGTGTGTCTGTGTGTGTGTGTTCGTGGTTTTGGGAATGCAGGTTTGTTTGTCGTTTTGTTGTTTTTGAGGGGGGGGTTCTTAGGCATCCTCTCTTTTGGGACATGCAGTCATGCAGCCTGCGGCTTAGTACTCACTTCCGCTCTCCGTCTCAATGGAGGAAGATGCCTTCAACCAGAGGCCTCAAAGGGTGCTCTTGCATCCTTACTTGGAAGCCCTGTTGACATAGTAAGTAGGGTCAGCAAGGTAGGTTATGGGGATTATCAATAGGGATTCTGCGTAGACTTACTAAGTCAATAAAGCATCGAAGTAAACCTATCACTCAAAGGTTAATGGGTTCTTCGAAGTAGGGGGTACAGGAAGTCCAGGAAAGTCCCAGCATAGACTGACTCTGCCCACCCCGACTTCCCCCTCGATGGTGTCGGCAGGTTTCGCAAAGGCGAGTTCCACGGGCAGGGCGCCCTCGCGAAGGCCTCAGTTAAGGACGAAGGAGTCTGGAGTAGAGGGGTTTTGGGGTTGAGGGTGTGGAGTTTCGGGTTTAGGGTGTCCCTGAACCCTAAACCTTGATTCACCACACTGGGATCTCCAGAGAAGGAGGTTCGGTTGAAGGAGACGGGAATCAAACCGATCACTTTGCCGCTGTGGCCAGCCCTTTGTGTTTCGATGTTCAGTGTGAACGGGTTTGACCACCCCCCCCCCCCTCCCCCTTCCCCCCCCTTCCCTTTCCCCCCCCTTCCCCCCCTCCCCCTTCCCCCCCCCCCCCCCCCTTCCCCCCCCTTCCCCCCCTCCCCCCCCTCCCCCCCCCCTTCCCCCTTCCCCCCCCCTTCCCCCCCCTTCCCCCCCCTTTCCCACCCTTCCCCCCCCTTCCCCCCCCTTCCCCCCCCCCCCCCTTCCCCCCCTTCCCCCCCCCCCTTCCCCCCCCCCCCCCCCTTCCCCCCCCCCCCCCCCTCCCCCCTTCCCCCCCTTCCCAGACCCGCGCCACCCACACCGACAGAGTTTTGCGGCTACCCTGTCTTTGCTAATAATCCCTTCCCCCAAATCCCCCCCCCTTTTAAGGTTTACTTTTCAAGCCCTTCTTCCCCCCCCTTACCCCCCCCTAACCCCCGTCCTGTCTCTGTAGGGGTTTTAATAGGGACAGACACGGGATCGGTATTTGGGGCCGGGGGGATTTTTATATTAGGGGGTATTAATATTAGGGGGAACGAATTATTCCGTTGTATAGCCCGCGATACAGCCGAAAAGCGATCACGCGATAGTCACGTGATGTCTTTTTTTGTTTGAGGTAAACGGCGTGCGGGGTTACCGGGCCACTCTGTTTGGTAAGTCAGCGTCACCCTTTAGCCTCAGGGCCCATGTACCGTATACCTCAAAATGAAAGATGGGTATACCCCTAAACCGATTTGGCTCGGAACTCCCGTCAGGCAGACCTAAATCCCTAAACCCTCTAAAAGCCCGTAAGCCCTCATCCTCGGGATCTTCCCCCTTCTACTAACATTCCTCAATAGGGATTATAGTACCCTATCATAATCCCTTTTAAAAACTGTTTGAAAAAGGGGAAAGCCCCAACCTCAACCTCTAACCCGGAATCAGGTACATGAACCCGCCGGGAGCTATGCGGAGCTTTATGAAAGTTGCTGTCGCTTTTGGTACCTCCTCGGTTTCCCGGAGAAGGAAGCCCGTTTCCTCCAGTCCTCGGTTTTGGGGTTTTGGGGTTGAGGGCTTTCTCCTAAACCCCAAACCCCAAACCCCAAACCCCAAACGACGCAAGTCCGACCGAACCCCAAACCCCAAACCCCAAACCCCAAATCCCAAACCCCAAAGCCCAAAGCCCAAAGCCCAAAGCCTGTGCCGGCATCTGAGGTCTACCCGAATGGCGGCAGATATCAAGCGACGTGCGAGCCTCAAGCCCTTCCAACCCGAACCCGCTTCAGGGTTTCGGGGTCGTCGGCTCTAAGCCTTAACCCTAAACCCTAAACCCTAAACCCTAAACCCTAAACCCTAAACCCTAAACCCTAGACCCTAGACCCTGAACCCCCTAAACCCTGAACCCTGAACCCTGAAACCTGAACCCTGAACCCTGAACCCTGAACCCTGAACCTTACATTCCACACCGAAAGCCACCACATCCTCGAGACTGTAATGGGGAGGAGCCCCTGGACCGACAGCAAAAAGCGGGAGCACTTGGTGAGGGTTTAGGGTTTAGGGTTTAGGGTTCAGGGTTCAGGGTTTAGGGTTTAGGGTTTAGGCTTTAGGGTTTAGGGTTCAGGTTTTTTGTGGCTTTCAAGGCACCAGCAGGGTGCCTTCACCCAGCATGGTGAAGATAGGCCATGATGTTTATCTGGCTCAAGCCTCGAGGATTTTGCGTGATCTCAGGATGCCGGGTTTGGGGGCTTATGGTTTTGGGGTTTAGGGTCTAGGGTTTAAGGTTTCTTTTCCTAGGTGGGATGACGGGGATCCTTAAAAACGGAACCCTTCTTGACCCACTTCTGGCTCCTCTTACACATGGACCTTATTCACGGGGTCTTTCTCCCCAGGGGTCCCCCTGAGCCTATCCCCTAGCTCATAGGTTTGGGGTTTCAGTTTTGAACATGTAGGGCTTCGGCTGAGGGGTTGCGGGGGCTTAGGTTTCGGTTTTGGGTTGAGGGTTTTGGACTTCGATTTCGGTGTAGGGCTTGGGGTTTTAGATGTTGGTGTTGGGGGCCTAGGTTTGGGCTTGCGGTTTAAAGGGTTTAGAGACATCAGGATGTAGGGATTGAGACCCTGAGTAGAAGCACGAATTCTCCCTAGACCCAACCCTGCCGCTAGTCCTGACGCCTCAGCCTCTCCTAGAGTGTCGGGCTTCGGTAGACGGCTTTACAGTTTAGGGCTCCATTGCTAAGATTACCTGCGGGTTACTTCTGCCACTGGGCCTCTCGGTTTAGGCTTCTTGTTCTTGAAAGTTTTAGGGTTTAGGGGGGGGGAAGACCTCTGGGTCGGAAACTCTAGGCTTGGGCCCTACAACCCAAAAAAGGCTGCAGGTAGAACCTGGACCCTAAACCCCAAAACCCAGAAACCCTAAAACCTGAAAATCCCAACCCTACACCCTCAAACCCTAAAACCCCTAGAACCCTAGACTCCGCCCTCGAACGTGAGAACGCTCCACCTGCCCTAAGGTGGGAGAGGGGCTACGCCGTCGAGGGCAGGCCGACACGGGCCTGTTGCGGCATGTCAACCTTTCGCCCATCAAACCCGTGGCTGTCTTAGGGTTTAGGGTTTAGGGTTTAGGGCTTAGGGTTTAGGGTTTAGGGTTTAGGGCTTCAGGAATACGGGCACAACTAGGGAATGAGGGAATGAGGCACCCAATATCCCCCTATATATGCCCTTTAGGAGATTATGTAATGTAGGGTACCTAATTCATCCGAATTCCCCATTCCCTACGACGAACCAGGGGGTTTTCCTGGAGCTCCGCCATCAAAATCTCTTTAGGTCTGGGTGAAACCCTAGGATATGGTATGTCTTCCATTCTTGTCTTCAGGGGCAACTCCTTCTTTGGGGTATTCTAATCCCTATAAAATCCCAAAGGCTAACCTTTAATCCCCCCAGTTTAGGACAACTAAGTTGTTGTACAAGTCCACAGAACTGGACCCTGGGCCCAACAAGTTTCTACAGTATTCCAGGCTGGCGGCTTCGGGGCCCTTGTCCGAAACCCTCAGCTTTGTAGGCCCATAAACCCTTAGATTTCAAAGAGCAGAAGCAGAACTTGGTGACCTGATGCCCTGGCTAGTCTGACAGGGCCCTGCCTAGCCCTCCCCGCACTCTCCTACTGCCAGAATCGTTAGGGTTCTTAAGAGCTCAACTTAAATTGGGTTAGCAGGTACCCTGAACCTCCAAGTGTGAAGTGCAGGTATGTGTTCAACGACGGTTTGCTCTACGAGGACAAGAACTGGCAGTACGTGTGCCGTGCTCAGAACGTCAAAAGCCACTTCTAAGCTTCATTGGCTTATTGTTTATGGCTAACTTTGGGGGTATAGCTGAGGCTACATAGAAAATGGATCAGCATAGTCGGTGCTGGGGAACCATAAGCGCGAAACCTTAATTCAATCAGGCAGCGGCATCGCTGGTTTGACTGCTTGGGGGGCGCTTGAATTGGGTTCGAAGGTACAGGATTTGGATTGCCTCTGAGGCTTGCTGCTTGAATCCCCAAACCTATAAAACCTAAGTTTCATCTGCATGTCGGATGCTGTGTACTTGTCCGCCATCTTGGCCATGTGGAAGTACACGAGGCTCGCCATTGTGCGGCTGGCTGTAGGCACATGGTCCTTGATGTCGCGCAGTTGCCCGCAGACACTGACTACGGCTCAGCATGTGGGCAATGCGCCCTACCAACGTGAATTCCTGTTGCTCTGTGCTCATGATATGGACTTCAGCGCGACGCTGGGAGGAGCTCTAGATGGCAACTCAGGGATTACCACGGCGTATGTAGGGTTTAGGGTTTAGGGTTTAGGGTTTAGGGTTTAGGGTTTAGGGTTTAGGGTTTGGGGCTAGGGTTCCGTGTTGTGCTGCTGTCTCTATCGCTTGTCGGCCCGGTCTCGAAGCTCAGGAGAGCTCCTAAACCCTCGCCCTAAACCCTAAACCCTAAACCCTAAACCCTAAACCCTAAACCCTAAACCCTAAACCCTAAACCCTAAACCCTAAACCCTAAACCCTAAACCCTAGCCCTAAACCCTAAACACTAGAAGTTTCATGGCGTTGGGTGGCAGGCTTGATTCGCAGCTGTCTGTGAAGGTTGTTAATTTTCAGTAGGTTTTTGGGTTCCAGTATGTCTCGCGAGTAAACGTTTGCGAAACAGAAGTGTGTGCGAAACAAGCCATAAACTAGGACCCTCTGAACCAAAACCCTAGCTCTAAACCCCAAACCCTGAACCCTAAACCCTAAACCCTAAACCCTAAACCCTAAACCCTAATTACACCTCACCCGCAAAAGAACTCTCTAAACGCCCTGAATCACACAGACAAGGTCCCAGGGTGATCGGCGCTTCTACACCGAAGTGAAAGAAGGTCTGCGCCTCTCTGCGTCGCGTGTTTTGCTAATTCCTTGAGGGATTAAGGGTATTTAGGGTTTAGGGTTAGGGTTTAGGGTTTAGGGTTTAGGGTTTAGGGTTTAGGGCTTAGGGCTTAGGGCTTAGGGCTTAGGGTTTAGGGTTTAGGGTTTAGGGTTTAGGGTTTAGGGTTTTATAGGGATAAGGGGATAGGGTCTAGGGTTTAGGGTTCGCTGTGTGGGCGTGTTTTTTCAATCGCGCACGGATCGCGCAAATACGGTCTGAGTAATCGGGCATAACCAGCTATATGCACCAAGGGTCCATATGAGAAAGAGTGTTTTTTCTCATCAGGATTGGAGAAATTCAAGTACTTAGTAGTAGAGTAGGTAACCTTTAACCTTTTTGGGTTAATATATTCCCCTTATAATCCCAAAGGTTAACCTTTAAAACCCCTAGGTACTGGACAGCTAAGAGTATAGGGTTTACGGGTTAGGGTTTCCTGGATGTTTTTGTCAACATCGGGTTTCAGGGTTTGCTCTCGGAACAGGTTCCATGACAACAAAGCTCTTTGCGGAATGACGGTGCCATTGGGCCTGAAAGCCCTCGGCGCCTTGTGAATTAGGGTAGGAATGTCTTGGCGCTTTTGAAATTTTGGTCATACCACTACAGACCACCCCCCCCCCCCCCGCGAGGCCCTATGATGAAATGCAAAACCCCTGCGAGTGCCAAATCCTGGAAGGGTTAAAGTGCTTCTTTTGTGAGTCGGTCCTGTGGCAACCCGATACCCCCAAAACCCAAAACCCTAAACCGTGCACGGCTTAACTAATCAGGGTTTAGGGTTCAGGGTTTAGGGTTTGGGGGGGATGGCGTGGACGATCATGGTCGTGTGAACAACATGTCCCCTGGATGGACAGTACGAGGTTTCCGAGGCTCCACATGCCCATTCATGATTCTGAGAGCGGCCTCCACATCCCGTGGGGGTTTCTGGTTTCTGGGAACCTCAAGCCACAGATGTAAGGTGCCTGTGGCCCCAGGAAGGATATGGAAGCTGCGAGCATGTCCGTAGGCAACCCTACAAAGAGCGGCCCCCTGAAGCTTAAACCCGAAGCCGCATGAATTCGATAGGGAACCTCTTCTCTGAACCCTTTAGGGTTTAGGGTTTAGGGTATAGGGTTTAGGGTTTAGGGTTTAGGGTTTAGGGTGTAGGAAGCCCAAGATGGTGAAGGTCTGAAACCTGCTGGCGAGACACTGCTGACCAACGAGAAGGCACGGTCGGCAATCCATCCTGTGCTTGCGGGAGTTTAGGGATTAGCGTTTAGGGTTTAGGGTTTAGGGTTCAGGGTTCAGGGTTTAGGGTTTAGGGTGTAGGGCTTAGGCCTTAGGATGTGGGGTGGAGGGTCTGGGGATGTTGGGATCAGGTTGACTTCAATAGTGTGGGTAGCTCTCTTGATTCAGGTGCCCTGTGTGGGCCCTTCTTTTTCAATATCTAGGGGTCGCAGGACCCAAAGAAGCACCCTTATGTAGAGAACTTGGGGCCCTAATTGTTACAATCCTTGTTGGGCACATTGGGGGGGGGGGGGGGGACCATTCGAAATCACTGCTTTGCAAGGCTACAGAACCAAGAATTACCCTAAACCCTAAACCCTAAACCCTAAACCCTGCAGAGGCCGAAGACTTGACATGGACATTTTCTCTTTCCTCCCCTGAGGCTCTTGGGCCCTCGAATCCTAATCCCTAATCCCCTAACCCCTCACCCCCCTAAACCCTAAACCCCCCAAAACCCTAAATCCCCTAGACCCTAAATCCCCTAAACCTTGCACCCGAAACCTTAAGCCCCTTAAACCTTCACCTAAACCTCCCTCAACCTTAGACGCTCAACCTTAAACCCTGGTCCTAAGCCCTCTCTATGTCTTGGAGCCTAGTGGTCCACCCCAGTAGGCCTTGCAGCCTGAGTGTTTTGGGGGGGCTCAAGGTTCAGGGTTCAGGGTTCAGGGTTTAGGGTTTAGGGTTTAGGGTTTAGGGGTGTAGAGTTTAGGGTTCAGGGGCATGGGCTTTTAGGGTGTAGGAGGTTTCGGGTTTAGGGGTTCAGGGTCTAGGGGGGTTTAGGGATTAGAGGGGTAGGATGTGAGGTTTAGGGCTTTGTGGTGCTTTACTGCAACTTTAGATCCTTATCCTTTTGGGGTTTTTTGTGTTTCTTGATATGGCAGCTAAAAAAAAACTTAATTTCTAGCTACTTCTGAGTGCAGCCAAGAGGGTAGCGAAGTCCTCTTCGCTGAGGTGCCCCCGCCAATTCCGAAGGGCACCTACGACTACGGTGCTGCTTCCGGCGATAGTCTTGCTGGTTCTTAGTCGGGAATGAGGGAATGAGGCTTTGTAGTGCTTTACTGTAACTTTAGATCCTTAGCCGTTTTGGGTTTATTGGGTATCTTAATAAGGCAGCTAAAAACTTAATTCATAGCTACCCTTCTGAGTGCAGCCAAGGCTGGTTCTTAGTCGGGAATGAGGGAATGAGGTACCCAATGTCCTGCGATATATATGATTATGTAGCGTATCCGAAACCCTAAACCCGAAACCCAAGAACCAGGGGTAGTTTTCGTGGTGCTGTGGGACTTGAGGTTTTTTTCGCTACCGCGCCACTGCCATCAGTAGTTTCTTCTGTGTTTTGTGTTTTGGGTTTTGGGTTTAGGGGTGCAGGGATAGTACGGGTTACACGGTACTAGGGTTGTGGAGTTTCCAGTCTCTAAAGTTTAGGGTTTTGGGTGGACATGAACTGTTGAAACTCCCCATCAGCAGCCGATTTGATAATCCCAGCCCTGCAACCTCCAACCCTAAACCTCAAACCACTAACCCTAAAACCCTAAACCCCAAACCCTAAGCCCTAGCCTAAACCCCAAATCCCTTAATCCCCTGAAACACTAAAAGCAAACCATGTAGCCGAATGAGCAAGTTTTCATGAACCTGTCAGCGTTGCAGTTCAAGACTTCATGCAGGCGACAATTGCTCAACCTAATAGCTTGGATTCATGGTACGTAGTGTAGTGATAACCCACGCACAAGCTCCTTAAGTACCCTGAATTCGGTTCTACCCTACCCCTAAAAGGCCGTTAGGGAAACTGCTAAACTTAACTTTGGTCCTACTAAGGGCTTCAGGGCTTGAGGGCTTTAGGGTTTGGGGGTTTAGGGAAGCCCTAAACCCTAAACCCTAAACCCTAAACCCTAATCCCTAAACCCCCATTGTAAGAGAGTCCCATGCGCCGCGACACATGGCTAGCGGCAAGCTCCCTCCGCGAGTGCTGAAACCGAGACTCGGTGGCCACCAAGGCTTAGGGTTTATAGGGTTTATCGGGTTTATAGGGTTTATAGGGGTTATAGGGTTTATAGGGTTTATAGGGTTTATAGGGTTTATAGGGTTTATAGGGTTTATAGGGTTTATAGGGTTTATAGGGGGTTTATAGGGTTTATAGGGTTTATAGGGTTTATAGGGTTTATAGGGTTTATAGGGTTTATAGGGTTTATAGGGTTTATAGGGTTTATAGGGTTTATAGGGTTTATAGGGTTTATAGGGTTTGGGGTCTAGGGTTTCAGGGTTTAGGTTGGGATGCTCCCCCTAATCAGGGGGGGGGGGGGTACTATGATCCCTACTAATGATTGTTAGTATAAGGGGGAACATCCCAAGGTTTATTATTGTTTGCTTAATAGCCCCCCAAAAACATAAGCAATAGTCTTCTTTTAAGGCAATCTAGGGATTAGTCTTTTCTATTTTGGGCGGGGTTCTTAAGCAAACAGTAGTTTGGGGCTTAGAGTTTCGGACCAGGTCGAGATTTTGTACCTCTGATCCCTTGAAAAATGCCCCCCCCCCCCCCCCCCCCTGATCCCAAGTAAACACAAGCCGCATTGAAGACTCAGGGTAGGGTTTGGGGTCTAGGCTTTAGGGTTTGGGGTTTTGGGGTTGGTTTTGACTCATGGGTAGCTATGGGTTTAGCGCTTGCGGTGCTTAAAGCTTACGGGTAGCCAAACGCACGGCTAACCTCGGCCGTGACCACTTATGAGTAACTTGTTCAGTTGCGCCCGTTAAGTTGTGCCCTGCTTAGAACCTCTTGGTGTTTAGGGGTTTGGGGGTGTACGAACCCGAAACCCTAACCCTTCAGAAACGGGTGAATAGACCCCATTTATAGATTTCCCCTCTTCTCAGATAGAGGCAGTAGGACCCCAAAACCCAAACCGCGATGAGTCCTAACCCTCCACCCCAAACCTATACTAACTGACCATAAACGCCCACACTTCCCCTCAAAAGCCGAGCCCCAAACCCTAAACCCTAAACCCGAAATCCTAAACCCTAAACCCGAAATCCTAAACCCCAAACCCTAAACCCTAAACCCTAAAAGCCCTAAAAACCCTAAACCCTAAACCCTGAACCTCTCTTACTATATATATATATATATTTTTTTTTTAAATACCCTTTTTCCCTAAAACTCTAACCCTAAACCCCAAAAACCCTGAAGCTTCCAACCAGAGGCTCCTTGCCGGACTCCTCTTCGCGGCGCTGAACTGCGCGCTGCGCGCGGCCCCGGCGTTTGGCAGGCCTTTTGAGGGTTTAGGGTTTAGGGTTTAGGGTTAGGGTTTGGGGTTTGGGGTTTGGGGCTCAGGGTTTGGGGTTTAGGGTTTAGGGTTTAGGGTCCATGTAGCTCATTATTTTATACTTGGGCCCCAAAGTCACTGTATAGGAGGTACTTTAAGGCCCGAGTGTTCCATGTTTAGGTACATGGTTTCGGGTTAGGGGCTTCGGTGTTTTAGGGGTGTACCCTAAGCTAAGCCCGGAATCCTAAAGTTTGAGTTTAGGCTGTAAGTTTCGGGTTTCGGGCAGTCACTGCCAGATGTGGCAAGGCCTCGGGTTGTGCATAGGGCTTGGGTTGAGTTTAGGGCTTCAGGCTTTAGGGCTGCGGGTTTATCACGTTTTCGGTTTAGGGTTGGTGGGGGGGGGGGAAGGGAAGGGTTTATTAGGGTTTGCTGTTTGGGGTGTGGTGCTGCAACTAGGGTCTCATCAGGCTCTTCGGGTTGGGGTCCATCGGTCTTGGGGGTCTTATAGGCTTTGTAACATTGTAGACCATCAGGACTTCCTTAAGCTGGGATTAAATCCCTAAACCCCTTCAACCTCCAAACCCCTACGTACCTTAAGCCCTGAACCCTAAACTCAAAACCCCTGAAAACCCCACATGTCAAGCGGACCCGAGCCCCCGCAAAATTGTATCGTCACTCACCTAAAGCAAGCTAAGCCCTCGAGACCCAGAAGCCCGCCTTCATGGGTGGTCCTGGTTTGGGGCCCTAAACCCGAAAAACCCTAAACCCGAAAAACCCTAAACCCTAAACCCTAAACCCCAAACCCTAAACCCTAAACCCTAAACCCTAAACCCGGACCCTAAACCCTAAACCCTGGCTACACGCATGAACCTTGAGTTGCAGGCTCCGCCCTGCTGGGAGGTCTGGCCCGCGGAGCAGGACCCCTTTGTTTAGGGTTGGTGGTTTAGGGTTTAGTGTTTAGGGCTTGGGGTTTCGGGTTTCGGGTTTCGGGTTTCGGGTTTAGGGTTTAGGGTTTAGGGTTTAGGGTTAGAATGGTTTGGAATGGTTTACCCAAAGGCTCCAATGTAGTTCCTTTTTGGGTTAGTTCTAGGGGATTCTAGTATACTACCCCAAAAAGGTACTACATAAGAGCCTCTGGGTAGAGGCCAGGGTTTGCAGAATATAGAGTTGATGTAAAGTCTAAGTAGTAGGGCTTAGGGTTTAGGGTGTAGAGCCTGGTAAGGTTTCGGATGTAGGAAAGTAGAGTGGGAGGGTGTGAATCTAGGGGGGTTTTGCAAATTTTGGGGCTTAGGGCTTGGGTACTGGCTTCTTCGACAAGTTGATGTCTGCAGGGAATCCTGGCAACCCTCAAAGGGTTTAGGGTTTCGGGTCTAGGGTTTAGGGCTTAGGGTTTGGGGGAATTGTACAGAAACCAAACACAACACACCCGCAGCCCCTCGGGATCCCTGCACCTCGGTCACCCGAACCCCGAAACCCCTAAACCCTAAAACAATAAATACCTAAAACCCTAAAACTCTGAAACCCTGAAACCCTAAAACCCTAAAACCTAAAACCCTAAACCCTGAAACCCCGACTAGACGACTAGAAGCCCAAAAGTTCTAACACCCCAGAACCCTAAACCCTAAACCCCAAACTGGCTTTGCAGGGCAAGAAGCCCCGTTCGGGGCGCGGAGCAGCGCCCATGGAGTTGCCATTCGGCTGAGGGGCGGGTTTAGGGTTGAGGGTTGAGGGTTTGGGTTCAAAGGGCGGGCTTAGGTTTCAATACCCATGAGGTGGCATTCATGTCCGTCCTCATGAAGAGCAAGTAAAAACCCTGGAAAGCAAGATCCTATGCTTCCCCTCGCGGCTGAACTAAGCCCGGTCTGGGAAGCACTCTTCTCTAGTTATACCCTAAACCCTTATTCTTAATCTTAAAACCCTAAACCCGAAGCCTTAAACCCGAAGCCCTAAACCGTAACCTTGGTCCGTAAACCCCTGGGCCCATACTTAGCTCAAATTTGCTTCGTTCGGGCCTACAGGTATTTGGGATGCTTTCAGTGCTCGATGGGCTTTTCGGGTTTCGGGCTTAGGGTTAGAGATTGAGGGCGCCGGGTCTGGGGGCTTAGGCCTAGTCGGATTTTACGTTTCGGGGTTCCAGGCTCAGGCTGCTGCTCGTTGAAGTATGTGTTCGAGGCGTTGTGGGTTTCGGGTCTAGGGTCCAGGGCTTCTTTTCCCGCATATTGCCTGTGAGGTAGGCTCCGAAAATCACCCCAGCAAACCTGCATGAAACCCTCATCATTCTAATCTTGGGATGTTCCGTTATACTAACAGTCCTTAATAGGGATTCTAGTACCCCCAAGTAAAATCCCCGTTAAGGACTGCTAGTATAAGGGGGACCATCCCAACCCTAATCACCCATACACCCTAACGTCGTAGCACAGCTTTCCGAAGCACAGACCCAGGCTTCGCGCAGATCTACTGCATCAATTTGGACGACAGGTCCGGGACTGAGCACGGCGCCGCCGCTGCTTGTAGTTCAGGGGTCAGGTTGCAGGGTTGGGGTTTGGGTTGGGATGTTCCCTCTTCTACTAACAGTCTTTAATAGGGATGATATTAGGGGGGTGGGGTACTATAATCCTATCAAGGACTGTTAGGTATAAGGGGGGCGTATAGGTATGTCTTTTCCCCACTTTTCCTCCCGCTCCCTCTCCCACTCCCTCAGCCGGACCGCCTGTTCTTTGCCACGACCAGCACAACA